GTGGTCCACACAGTCAAAGGCTTTTGCATAGTCAATGAAGCAGAAGTAGATGTTTTTCTGGAACTCTCTGGCTTTCTCTATAATCCAGCCCATGTTAGCAATTTGGTATCTAGTTCCTCTGCCCCTTCGAAATCCAGCTTGTATTTCTGGGAGTTCTCGATCCACATACTGCTGAATCCTACCTTGGAGGATTTTGAGCATAACCTTGCTAGTGTGTGAAACGAGTACAACTGTATGGTGGTTGGAGCATTCTTTGGCACTGCCCTTCTTTGGGATTGTGATGTAGACTGATCTTTTCCAGTCCTCTGTCCACTGTTGAGTTTTCCAAACTTGCTGGCATATTGGATGTAGCACCTTAACAGTGTCATCTTTTAAGATTTTAAATAGTTCCACTGGAATGCCATCACCTCCACTGGCCTTGTTGTTAGCCAACAAGGCCCACATGACTTCACTCTCCAGGATGTCTGACTCAATTGGCTATCTAGGGAAGACCAGAATGTTGGAGTTGATGCTGAGGAGGGCAGGATTTGGCCCCAGGACCTGAGGTTTCCTACCCTTGCTAGTACTTACTGTTAAACAGTGGCCAATTTTGAGGTCACTGGAAATAAATCCTTATAAGAATTTTTAAGGACATAGCAAACTACTGGAACAGCAAAACTGTCAGCCATGGTGTCGTCCTGGAAAACATTTGAACTGGTGACCTGAAGGTGAAAGAATCAGCAAGTTCTATTTCCAATCCCCAGGGACATCCAGTTTCTCTGATAACAAACTGAAATGTACATACAGTAATAGCTGAGTGATGCTTTTTTTGCTGCTGTGCCTCCCTGGACTTAATGCTATCATATCTGCATGCACACACACACATATGCACATGAACACACACACACACACACACACACACACACACACACACACACACACACACACACGCACATGCACGCGTGCACACACACTATATATTAGAGTTGCAAAATTTAATGAAGTAATTGGTTAAATTAAATGATTAGAATTTGTTAAGTGACCTAAAAAGAAGTCACAATTAGGAAACAGTTTTTAAAAATATATATATTCTGAAGTAAATACATTTTTAAAAGCTGCAGATGACAGATGTTCTGGAAAGAGAGACATTCCTCTTTCACACTTACGTAGGATGAAAATTGACTTCTAAAACGGCAAGGGTTGAAAGAGGCACATATTCTTTCTAAACACATTAAAAAGTATTGTTATACCCAACCCACTTCTCTTGAGTGATGAGGAGTTCTATGGATGTAGTACTAATTGGAATTTGACTCCTTTAAGAAGAAGGTGACTGGAGGCTTAGTGCTGCTTTGAATGCAATCTATTTGCATTTATTTACAAGTAAGCAGGTTGAGGAGGAACCTGCAGTTCTAAAAAGTGAAGTGAAAGCTGCTCTGAAAGCACTCAGAAAAAATATATCACCGTGAAAGATGGAATACCAGTAAAACAACTTAAAGCTACAGAGACTGAATCTGTCAAAATTCTAAAATGAATGTGCCAATCAATATGGAAAATGAAACAAAAGTCTACAGACTGTTAACTTTCAATATATAGTCCAATTCCCATGAAAGGATATGCTAAGGAGTGCATATCTAATTATAGAACCATTGCTTTAATATCCCATGCAAGCAAAGTGATGCTCATGGTGTCACAACAAAGGTTTTTACCTTACATGGATTGAGAAATACTTGATATCTCAGCTGGATTCCAAATAGGAAGAAGCACTTGAGATCATATTGCAAATATCTGCTGGCTACTGGAGTACACCAGGAATTTTTTTAAAATCACTATATGCTTTAAAAGCTGCAGCAAAGCCTTTGTGTGGATGATGAGAAACAATGAACGGTTTTGAAATAAATGGGTGTGCCTCAGCACTTGATTGTCCTGATATATAACCTATATTGTTGATAAGAAGCTACCGTCAAGATAGAATATGGAGAGGCAGAATGGTATCATAGGCAAGGATGTCAGGAGTATTTTCTCTCTCCATCTTTTCAATCAGTATGCAGAACATATCATAGGGGAAGCTAGATTAGATTCAGATGAAGAAGTGAAAATTGGTGGAGGAAACATCAGTAATTTAATATATGCAGATGACACCATCTTACTGGCATAAAGCAGCACGACTTAAAACAACTTTTAGTGAAAGTGAAAAAAAGAAGTGCCAAATTAGGATTGCAGCTAAAAGTTAAGAAGACAGAAATCGTGACGACAGGAGAACTACAAAACTGTAATGCTGACAATGAAGAAACTGAAGTATTTGGAGATTTTGCATACCTTGGTTCAGTTATCATTTATCAAAAAACAGAGACTGCAGCCAAGAATTCAGAAGAAGACTGTGGCAAGGAAGGACAGCAATGGAGTAACTAGAAAAGATTGTCAAGTGTAGACCAAGTGTAGATTGTTACTGACGACCAAAACCAAGATCATCCACACTCTTGTATTTCTGATCGTCGTGTATAGGTGTGAAAGCTGGACAGTTAAGAAAGCTGACAGGGAAAAATTGATTCATTTGAAATGTGGTGCCAGAAGAGAGCTTTGTGGATACCCTGGACTACCAGAAAGATGAACAAGTGGGTCTGAGTTCAAATCAAGCCTGAACTACCGTATTTCTGGAGGAAAAAATGCTGTAACTGAGGCTGACCTGCCTTGGACACATCACGAAAAGGCAAGATTCTCTGGGAAAATACAATAATGCTGGGAAAGGTGGAAGGCAGCAGGGGGAAAAAAAGGAAGATCAAATATGAGATGGATTGATTCCATGAAGGAACAACAGGTTTGAATTTACAAGAGCTGAGCAGGGCAGTTGAGGACAGGACATTTTGGAGATGGCTCCTTCATAGGCTTGCCATAAGTTGGAGGTGACTTGGTGGCACATAACCGCAATAATGTACAGGTTGCATGTACAGCATGAGCATCTCCCCAACTAGTGGATGTACATTGTTTCCACAGCCAGTACCCCTGGTGCTGGTCGCTTACTGAGTTAAGAAAACAGCATGTTATTTTTGTCTTTCTCTCTCACTCCAACTGCAATCCAAAGCATAGAAAATTATTTTTTGATGACAACTTTTAAAATGCCTCGCCATGCTTCTTCTGGCTAGATAAAAAGCATAGGGTGGGGGAGACTTGCTTCCTTGACTTCTAAATTTAATTATGACTTTAATGCATACAGAGGGACACAGTGTGCAATAGGGGTGGATGGAATGCATGCAAATTATGCTAGTCTACCTGACTGCACCTTTGCCTCTGTCTCCCCAAAACTTCTGTGGGCAGCATTATAGCTAGAGGTTTCTGGGTGTTGTCAACCAAAAAATAAACTCTCTCCCCACCCCGCCCCCATATTCTGTGGCATCATGCACCAAGACTTGGATTACCTTCTCCTTTATTATGAAAAAGGAATGTAATCTCTCGTCTTTTTCTCAGAATTATCCCGCCCCCCCGCCCGGAAATATTAGTCTAATTGTGTTCTTGAAGGCTTTCACGGCCGGAATCTGATGGTTGTTGTAGGTTTTTTAGGCTGTTTGGCCGTATTCTGGAGGTTTTTCTTCCTAATGCTTCACCAGTCTCTGTGGCCGGCCACAGAGAGTGCAAAATGTTAGGAAGAAAAACCTCCAGAACACGGCCAAACAGCCCGAAAAACCTACAGCAACTATTAGTTTAATTATTTAGCTGCCATAGCAACATACCACTAGTTTACCTAGCAAAAGATATGCTGGGCCACACCTGGTCAGCAGGTTTGATTAACTCCAAGCAGCTTTTTCTGGCCTATTAAATCTCTCTTATCCTATTATGTTCCCCCCCCCCTTTGAAACCACTGCTTCAATAAACAGCCCGAAAAACCTACAGCAACTATTAGTTTAATTATTTAGCTGCCATAGCAACATACCACTAGTTTACCTAGCAAAAGATATGCTGGGCCACACCTGGTCAGCAGGTTTGATTAACTCCAAGCAGCTTTTTCTGGCCTATTAAATCTCTCTTATCCTATTATGTTCCCCCCCCCCTTTGAAACCACTGCTTCAATTATTTGCACATTTATTCAGATTTAATTGGATACAAAACCTCTCCCGTTAATGATCTAAAATTTCTTTTATCAGCCAACAACCAATGTTTGACTTATGCCGGCCTTGACTTAAAGTTTGGAGGAGGAGGAGAGAGTGAAAACTGTTCACAGTATCCGGGCATAACTGCTATCTTGGGGTGGGTAGGAGGGACCTGAGTTCCCTCAAATTGAGGCAGATAAATCAGAAGAGCCACATTGTAGTGAATAGAGTGAAATCTAGGGGTGTGATCACATAGGGATATAAATCATAACTTGGCAAGCTTGTGGAGCAGTCAGGTGTGATCTGTTTCCTGGTGGCCACATGACATGTGCAGAAATGCACTTCATCCAGACCTGTGCCCAAGCAGGACCTTTGGGCAGTTGAAGATGTAGGGCATCAACTTTTGGGGGCTGGGCAGTAGTAATTCCCCAGCAGACAGAAGGGTTGCTTTAAGAAAGGTGGCTGCTGTTAGAACAACCCTTTCCCAGTGTAATCAGGCATGCCTTTTTGCAGTTTTCTGATTGCTCCCTAGGACTCAGATGATCTGGGTTCTATTTTCCACTTTGCCATGGAAATTTACTGGGATATAGCACTGGTAAAACTTGTGTGACTTAAAAATCCTATCAGGGTCACTGTAATTCAGCCATGACTTGATGCCACATAACAAGAAGTAAAAAAAAATGGAGTTTCTGTATTTCTGGAACATTGTATTCTTTTGAACCATCATCTGAACACAAGCAATGACCTTTCTAGTTCTTGTTCTTTCATGTCTGTCATGCATAGTCATTTGTGGCAGCATGGTATAGTGACGAAGATGTTTGATGGGACTTAGAAGGTTCAGGCCTTAATCTCTACTAAGCTATGTAGCTGTGATGCTACTTGGCCTAGTCATTGTTCTTCTCAGCCTGACCTGCCTCCCGAGGATAAAGTAGGGAGGATGAGACCCGTGTAAACTGCCTTGAGATGTTCAGTCTGAAGGAGGGATAGACATAGGCATCCTTCAGTCTCGAGAGACCATGGTAACATGCTCTGTATTGAGGAGTGTCCTAAGTAATATGGAGGATAGGCTGTTACCCAAGCAGCAGCTTCCCCCCTCTCCATGTTGCTGAAATGGTCCAATGGAAAGACAAGAGCCAATACAACTGGTTCCAGCAACGTCGCAGGAGTTGGCAGAACGACACAAACTGCCTTCGGGACTCCGGCTCCGGATTCTGCTCTAGGTTAACTCCTAAAGCCGTTTCCATGAGTGGATATAGCCACAGGGCAGTGGAGGTTTGAAATCAGAGTTTTCTTTCTCCTAGATGGGCTGCCTTCCATGGCTGACAAGCCCCACCTACCCGGCCTGCTCTCTAATAGTGCAGAAGTTTGATTCGACCCTTAAAACTTTCCTGCTTCCCAGGTGTATGCAATTCTAATTGGCTTTCCTATTTACCATATTAAGGTCAGAGATAGAATCAGAGAATTTGAGAATTTCCTGGGACACCCTCATTTAAAGTAGAAAGCCCCACCCCCAGGCCATGAGGTGGGGGAGATTTCAGTCTCAGCCCAGCTTCATAGAAAAAGAGCCCAGGGTCCTGTGACACCCTGATTTAAAGTAGAAAGCCCCACCCCCTAGGCCCCACCCCCAGGCCATGCGGTGGGGGAGATAAAAAAACCCCAGCAAAATTAAAAAAAAAACTCCTCAGCAAAATGTCCATGCAAGCAAAGCAAAACAAAAAGCAAAACATACCTGGCCTTGAGTCTCAGCCCAGCTTCATAGGAAAAAGAGCCCAGGGTCCTATGACACCCTGATTTAAAGTAGAAAGCCCCACCCTCTAGGCCCCACTCCCTGGCCATGCAGTGGGGGAGATTTTTTAAAAAGCCCAGCAAAATAAAAAAACTCCGCAGCAAAATGTCCATGCAAGCATACCTGGCCTTCAGTCTCAGCCCAGCTTCCTAGGGAAGGAGGGATATATATGCTTAAAATGCTATTAGTCTAAAAATATCCATACACAGCTAACTCTTTTCTGTCTGCTATCCAGTTTATTAGATACTAAACAGGGGACACTGTTTTACCACATCAGCATCATATCAGCTTTTCCTGAGTTGGTAAAAAACGGCCCCAAGAGTCCTGTTGCTGTGGATTTACCCTAATAAAATTAGTCTTGTTTCATTTGTGTTGCTTGCTGACCTGTGTTACCCTTCTCTGGAGACTTTTTGTTTGTTTTTCATGAACGTAGATCTCTAGAGATCTCCCTCCATCTACTTCAATATGTCTTATTTCATAATCTCACAGCTGCATACGGAACACTAATGTGGGTTTGTGTTTCTCATTTACATTCAGTGCACTTTGTAGTTCTGGAGCACATCTTGGACGTATCTGATGGATGCAGACTTAATCCATAGCACCTGCCTCTGCTTTGAAGGCCACCTCCATGTAACCCAACTGTACTGGAGATTCAGCCACACCTTGGATTGATTCTCCATAAATTCATAAGGCTGACAGAAGCAATCATTTACAGTCCGTATTATCTATTATCAGGCATTCTCTTTGCAGGTCACTACTCAGAAGAAGCAAGCATGTGTGCAGATAAGGTGTACTCCATTTTATTGTTTTTCCACTGTAATGTGAAAAAAGGAACTTGCTGAGGTTAAACGTTCAAAAACGAGCTTGTAGATATTTTGTCCACAAAAGTTCAGATGAAGAAACAGGTTAAAGTGGTACAGTATGTGGAAAGCCCCTTTCTGGTCAGTGATAAAATGTAAAGAAGTGCTTCTCCATATTGCAAGTACTAAAATACCAGAGACTGTATCTACATGTCAGAAAAATGTCACATGAAGGCAGACTAAGAAGCTTCCAGACCTACATCAAGCACCACATAACTCTTCCTTTGCTCTGGGTTAATGCATGTGAAACAGCAGCTGTTTTACTCTAGTGTATGTTGGGGCGATGTCATGTAAAGCAACAGGAATGACAGTGGATTGAGGAAGGATTTAGAGCAATGGTTCCCAACCTTAATTCCCCAGATGTCCAGAAGCCTTCACCTCTAGCTGTGTTTGCTAGGATTTCTGGGAGTCGTAGTCTAAGAACATGTGGGGACCCAAGGTTGGGAACCACTGATTTAGAGGGACATGTAGGGACCTTCACAGAAGGTTGAAATAGTAAACTAGCAATAAGTAGCATTAAGACATCCAACAGGATATAATTATTGTTGTGGTTATGGTCTGTGCCCTGAAAAGAATAAATAAAACAAACATTCTGAACTAAAGTGGTCACATTTTCTAACCTCAAATATTAAATTATGTGATGTGTGTGTGTATAATATGCAAATTAAAATACTTACATAACAGTCCCCAGAGCAAAAGGCTCAAATTTTATCCTGTATGGCAGTTTCCCCAGTCTTTATTTATTTATTTGTTATATTTAGACCATGTCTTTCTTCCAATGAGCTCAACATGGTTTATGTGGCTCTCCTTTCGGCCTGCCTTTACCTGTGAGGTTTTGTCCTCTCCACATTCTCCAGGAAGCTCAGAGGTGGTAGGTGTGGTTCAGCTTCTCTCCCACATTTCACTTTGAACAGTTGACTCATGAGGCTGGTTAGGCTGAGAGGTAGCAACAGGCCCAAGTTCACCCAGTGCAGATTTTAAAACAGGCTTCTGAAATTTACCAGAGGAATTTTGGTCTGAAACAAAAAAAAAGCTAGAAATCTTTTTTTTGTATTTATTTTTTAAATGGAATGCCCCAAGAAACTATGTTCTATGGCCAGTATCACAGACGATGGCTTTGTCCCTTGGCATGCACAATGCCTTGGCAATTTTCTGTGTGAGTAATACAAACATGAGTGTTATTACCATCTTTACTTACGTGGACAGTCAGTAAGTTTGATTTCTAGACGGACTATGTTAGTTGCATAAGCCTCTCCTGATGATCTGTCTATGCTAAAAAAAGTTGACTGACCTAAGGAAACAAAGTCATTTTGTGATCAAGCAGAGATCTGAATTTGTCCTGTCCCAGATCCAGCGCTCTAATCTTTGCTCTATCCTGATTCTTTCAGATCTGTGGTTACTGTGTAAATAGTGTCATGAATGAAATATTTGTAGAAATAGAACTGAAGCTATTAATGCACCTGATTTTCATATTATGCAAATCAGGCTGCCAGATTTGGAGCAGTCAAATATGGCATTAGAAGTTGCCATGTTAGGCAACAGATCTGGAATGCTCAGGAAGGGTGGCAAATTGTTACTTACACACTTTTGAAATGATTAGCTTTTACATAAGCAGCTCATAATAAATATTATTTGTTTGCCATTAGTAATTTTGCTGCCAGAGATGGGAAGTGTGCTTAGGATTGTCTGCTTTGTCTGCTAAAATAATTTGTCTTATTTTGCACTTTAGTTCAGGTGGGATTTTTGGGGGGCATAATTTGTTGTTCCACCTCAGGCAGCAAAATGTTTTCGACTACCCCTGTCTTGTTCTAGAATGCCTGCATGCCTAAGTGCTTACAATGGAAAGCTTCTCCAAAGTATAGATTGATCCAGTACAAATATAGAAAATAGTATTTGGATGGTGCAAAGAAAAACTATTTGTTGTGAAGCAGAGCTAGGAAACAGCCCTGAGCAGCAAAAGAGACTGCATTCTTTTGAGCCGTGCCAGTTCCTTTGGATTTCCAGTTAGCACATGCTCTCAAATGAAGACGCTTTGATCTCATGCAAATTAAAGACTGTCTGGTTTCCTTGTTTTTTGTTTTTTCCCCCTGTGTTTCCCCTACTAGTCAAGGGGTGAAAGAGAGGTCAAACCAAGCAAAAACAACAACCCCCAACTCAAATTGTTCTGCTGATTTTGATCTGATTCTTAATCTCCTTTTCTCATGGCTAATTAAGTGCAACAGCTCCAAAGTGGATGGAGCAAACCTCTGGTATTTGATCAAATCATGTCAGCCTAATGAATCATTGCATCCACTGAAGTGAAGGATTACTACTATACTAATTAGTCTGTTATTAAGTATGTTCAGAAGCCCACCAGCCGAGAGTTTCTCTCAGGTCAGGTCATCCCACTTTGGAGTACCACAGTATATTTCATAAGGGAAGGTCTAGTTCTGATGGCTGCCAAATTGCAGTGTGTATGCGTGCACTGAAAAACACAATGCAGAAGAGGGAGAGGATCTGAAATGTTCCTTCATATAGGTCTCCCCAGACAACTTTCTTTCCCTTCTTAAAATTACAAAATTTCAAAACCCTTCAAATTTAGATTGGACTTGCAATCAAGTTAAATTAACAATAACTTAAAAAGCCAAACCATGCATCCCCAGCGCCACCATATAAGTAAAGTAGTGTTGTGGACTTTAATCAATGGACTGCCCCAGCTTCCAATCCAAGGTAACAATTTCATAAGCAGTCTTCAGTTCAGAGTGCTTCAGGGAAAAGAGCAGCGATGAACTGTATAGATCAGTGATGGCGAACCTATGGCACATGTGCCACATCTGACACACGAAGCCCTTACTGGCACACAAGTGAGCGGCCCACCCACCCACCAACCTATGGCACACGTGCCACATCTGACACATGAAGCCCTTTCTTCTGGCACACAAGTAAGCGACCCACCCACCTACCATTGTGGAAACAAACCTTTTGAAGTGGCTGCAGCTGGGATTCCCCCTTTCTCTTCCTGTTCTGGGTCCTTCAACTTCCTGTCCATCCCCATGATTCCCCCCCAAACTGCAACTTCCTGTTCCAGTTCTGGTCTTCCGGGCGGCACGGCAGCCACCGGTTTCTTCCCCACCCCCTCATTTTGGGCACTTGAGCCAAAAAAGGTTTGCCTTCACTGGTATAGATGGATGCTCTCCCTCTCCATCGTGTGCTAGTTGGGTCTTTTAGCAGCAGAACTTTTCAAAGAACTTTTGGGGAGTTTGGTAACAACTTAGTTTCTAGTTCTATAACTTGCTTTTCCCTGCAGTTGTCAAGAGAAACTGCAAGCCTGTGTTTCCCCATTGTTCCTTATCCTTATTTATCTATTTGACGAAGTATTTGCATTTGTCTCACTGTAGCTGGTGCAAAAACCCTAGAGACTACTTGTTTAGCTGGATTTATGCACCCTGAAGGGGGTTATTAGGGTTCCAGATTTCCTACATTTTGTGTGCAGCAAGCAAGAAAGAAAAAGCAAAGCAAAACAAAACAAAACAAAACAAACCAGAGAGTTGTGAGTCTAGAATCAATCATGTCCAAATTTATGACATGATCCAAATCACTTTAATTTGGGGTTATTAGGGTTCCAGATTTCCTACATATTGTGTGCAGCAAAAAAGAAAGAAAAAGCAAAATAACAACAACAAAAACAAAACACCAGAGAGTTGTGGAGATTCAGATTTCCGCATCTTGACTCTGACTCAAAGTTATGATCTGGACTGAGTCTAGAATCAATCAGGTCCAAATTTACGGCATGATCCAAATCACTTTAATTCAGCTCTGAACTGAATTGGGGGAGGCGGCTGGGGAAAACCCTAACCAGAAACTATCTGCTATAAATTGCCCCCCTCCTTCCTGGTTTTATAGAAATCATTTGGTATGATCTTTACTTTCCTTAGGAGTGAAAAAAACAAAACCACTCTATGTGAAAGGGTGGTGTGAGATTGTTGGGGGATATCAGAATGATTAATCAGCAAAATGTTATGGGGACTAGAAAGCTGCTCTCTTGCAGGTAATGAAAACAGTGTTTCCATGTTTGTAAAATGGAAGAGAGACAGTATGGTCAAGTAGTTAGAGTGTTTGCCTTGGGAGGTCCTTGGTGAGCCATGAAAAATCACCAAGTGTTTTCAAGCCAGCTACCCTCTCCCCGCTTGAGCCACCTCACAAGATGGTTTTAAGGAAAAAGTGATATGAGCAACCTACGTGAGCTGAGAGGAGGAAAGCGCAAGATGGTTTTAAGGAAAAAGTGATATGAACGACCTACATGAGCTGAGAGGAGGAAAGCGAGATAGATATACATGTGGCTTATGAATGACATCATAATTATAATGTGTCCCTGGTGGTTACATGAGCAGGGTGCAGAACTTGCCATTTTCAAAAATTAGGGAGAGGCGAAAGAGTGAAATGTTCAACCTGCCTATGCATATTCCAAATAAATTATTATGTTTGTGGTTTTATGCATGTAAGCGATTATTTGTGCACATCTCTTTTTTAAAGTTCTAGGACAGAGCCTCTTCTGGTTCCATCTCAGCCACTGCAAAGGATGACGGTGATAGCAGCATGATGAAGATGAACTGGCTGGTGAGGACATTGGTTCAAGACTTGCAGATGGCTTGCTGGCACCCCAGCCATGGCCAGTGATCCTTTGAATAGTTCTCTTTCCTCCTTGAAATAGAAATCCATGTTCCAAAACAGAAGGGCCCTCGAGAGACACCAGACTATGTCCTGGAAGATCCAAGTGGTGCTTTTTCATGTCCTGACATAATGGGGCATGGTTTTGGGGGTGGTCAGGAGTGCATTTTCACAGTGAAAACCAGTGCACCAGCTGCGCCTTGTTCCTGGAGAGGTTTGATCTGACCACAGTGACACATGCTTTAGTTACATCCCAGCTGGATTACTGTAATGTTCTCTGTGAGGCGCTGCCTGTGGAAAGTGTTCAGAAACTTTAGCGGCTCCAAAATACTGAAACCAGCTTGTTAACTGGGACTGGTTACAGGAATCACATAGCTCTCCTTGTCACAGCAGCTCCACTGGCTGCCGATCTGTTTCCAGGCACAATTTAAATTGCTGTTTTTAACCTATAAAGCCTTAAATGTCTTGGATCCAAGCTATCCCAAGGACCTTATCTTCCTTTATGAGCCTGCCTGGGTGTTAAGCTCACCAGTCCTTCCAACTTCACAGGTGTTTTTGGTGGGGACACAGGAGAGGGCCTTCTCTGTAGCTGCTCCTACACTCTGGAACTCTCCCCCCCCCCTTCCAGGCCAGGCTGGCCCCTTCTTTGTTGTTCTCCGCAAGCTCGCAAAGACCTTTTTCTTCAGGCAAGCTTTCTTGTAGTGCCTGGCTGTCTGAGGGAGGTTTTTTTAAATGGATTGTTCAAAT